ACATCTTTCTCCCAAAGAGCAGCTGGTGGGCTCAAAGTACCAACTTTCTGGTTTGCAGACAAATACTTTAACCACCGTACTATCAGGGTATTGAAATAGATTGATATTGGCCGTTTGGAGTCAGACAATCATATTGGTCTACTGCCTGGAATAACAAATTGAAGAGGGATGGTTTAACATTCATAGTCAAAAAGAACATTTCAAGATCTATATACCACTCGTCCGTCAGTTTGTTGTACTGTGGTGACTTATGTGGTCCTGTGATGTTGGAAGCTATGCCATCACCAGTATTTTACAGACCAGCAGGGACATACATGGTGGACCGGTTTCATCAGAATTTCCAGACTAAGACAGACTAGGAAGGAGAGGCAGACTGCTTCTGAAGGTTATCCATTAAAAACTTTCTGAATAGCAACAGAATATTGTCAGAAGATAAGTCCCGCAGGTTGAAAGGCACTCAAAATGTGACCGGGGGGAAGGTCTGTGTCCTCAGAGTAGAGTTGACCGTGATGACAGAGATGGAGCAAAACTTTCGGGACCTTCATTTGTTGATGTGGCACAACTCAAAATGACACAAAACAGCTGTAAACATTCATTAATAATTGGAGCATGGAATATAGAAAATGTGAGGCTAGGAAATTTGGAAGTCTTCAAAACTGAAATGGAACACCTAAGGGTCTGTATCCTAGGCATTAGTGGACTGAAATGGACTGGTATTGGCCATTTTGAATCAGCCAATCTTATCGTTTACTGTGCAGAGAATGATAAGTTGAAGAGGAATGGCAACACATACATCATCATAAGAGCATTTCAAAATCTATTTGGAAATACAATGCTGTCTGTGATTGGGTAATATACACACTCCTACAAGGACTCCTGGTGTGGCACTGTGGGTTCATGCGCCAGACTGCAAAGCCATTTGAACTGCAAGGTCGGTGGTTCAAGCTCACCAGCTGTGCCTTGGAAACCCTATACAGGGTCACTATGGGTCGGAACCGACTCCACAGCACATAACCACCACCACCATGAATCATTTCAAGAGGTAGTATGTGAAGAGCTAAGGGTACTAAGGAAGAAGTCCAAGCTGTGCTGAAGCCAGTAGTTCACAGAATATCAGTTAAAACGTTTCAACAAACTAATGGTAGTGCTTGAGTCACTTAGTCATCTATGCCAAGAAATCTGGAAGATAACAACCTGATTAACCAGTTGGAAGAGATCCATATTTGTGCCCATTCCAAAGAAAGGTGACCCCACAGAACGTGGAAATCACCAAACAGGGTTAATACCTCATGCAAATAAAGTTTTGTTGAAGATAATTCTAAAATGGTTGTTGCAGTACAGGGATCTGCCAGAAATACAAGCCATATTCATAACAAACCATGGAACCAAGGGTATCATTGCAGGTGTCTCCTAACTGAAAGCAGAGAATGCCAGAAATATGTTTACTTGTGCTTTATTGACTATGTGGAGGCATTCGACTGTGTGAGTCATAGCAAGCTATAGATAATTTTGCAAAGAATGAGTATCCCAGAACACTTAATTGTGCTCATGAGGAACCTGTACATAGACCAAGAGGCAGTCGTTAGAACAGAACAAAGGGATACTGAATGGTTCAAAACCTGGAAAGGTATGTGTCAGAGTTGTATACTTGCACCATATTTAGTCAATCTTTATGCCGAGCAAATAATTTGAGAAGCCAGTTTATATATATGATGAAGAAATGGCATCAGGATTAGAGGAAGACTCATTAACAACCTGCAGGAAGCTAAGAGAACTTGGAATGCTTACCAAGGAAGATCAAAGACTACAGCGTTCAGTTTAGATTGCACCTCAGTGTAAAGAAAACGAAAATCCTCACAACTGGACCAGTAAATAACATCGTGGTAAATGGAGAAAAGATTGAAATTGTCATAGGCTTCATTTGCTTCATCCACAGTTAATGTTCATGGAAGCAGCAGTCAAGAAATCAAATGACGTATTGCACTGGGCAAATTTGTTGTAAAAGACCTCTTGAAAGTGTCAAAGAGCAAAGATGTCAGTTTGAGAACTAAGGTGTCCATGCTAGACTGCAAAACACAAGGTTGGTGGTGCAAGCCCACCAGCCCTGCCACAAGAGAAAGAGACTTTATAGATTAATAGCCTCAGAAATACTATACAGCGTCATTGTAAGTCGGAACCAACTCAACAGCACCTAACAACAACGTGTGGTTCAAAATGTTTTAACCAAAATGACCTTTCTGTCATTTACATTGTTAATACTATTGCTTTTTGAGGGCCATTGGTTTTATGTTTATTCCTCGCTCTGCCTTTTCCGATGCTGGTCATTTCTGAAATCTGCTGATCTCTAATCTTGGTGGCATTTATGTTTTCAGACATTGTGTGAGAAAACAGGAAGATTTTTTATTTAGTCAAATTCTGAACAAATGAAGTAGAGATGTTCGACCAAGACAAAATAGTAGTAGTAGCTTGTTTTGTTGAAAAACGAGGCATGTCTGTGACATTGGAGAACTCATTTTCCCTTGACTTTCAAATAGTGGTTTGTAAAAGTTCGTTTGTTGTTTTTGCAGAGTAAGAAGTTTATCACTTTATAAAGTAATTGGATTCACTTATTTTGGCTTTAACATGAAAGAGACCTGTTTTTAACATGAATTTTTATTGTTCTTCTTGGTCCTTTTCAGAAGCATGTTTCAGCTCTGTAAGGCTATCCTTAAGTAAAATTACACATTCGGGACATCTCAATTGGTTTGCCAAATTATAGGACATTTTAATTATTATGTGGATGTGACAGATTCAATTATTGTTGAACTTCTGAGAAAGCTGCCCTTCACAGTGATTCACAATCATCAACAGAAGATTAACAGGAAAATGCCCTTTATAATACTTAACAAACATTTCCGATTAAATGGCGTAGAGCAAAATTAACTGTGAGATCTAGAGAGGGGAAAACAACCTGTGTCCTGCTTCGAATTTCAGTATATTCTCTTAAGATAGATTTACTCTAAATATGGTTTAAATGCAGAACTAAGTACCACTTAACATTCACATGTTTTCCTTGATACATCATTTGGGAGCATTGTTTCAGACTTTCTCCTCAGAAACCATTAACCAAAGCCAGTAATAAGAAGACACATGGAGTTAAGAGTCCCTTCTTCTCGCTTTTAATTTCCCAAGCATGAATTAATGAACAATAAAGTGGCTAAAAGGCAGGCAACTCAAGGAAGAGAGAAAAGAAACAAGGAAAGATCTTTGGGGAGGATACTTGGACCCTCTGCAGTTAAGTGTGAGCTGTCCCTCTGAATACTGAAGTCTGGAGCTCCATTTCTTACTTGCTGAGTTGTTGTTGTTAAGTGTTAGTTCTGACTCATAGCGACTCTATATAGAGTTTCCAAGGAGCGGCTGGTGAGTTTGAACTACCAATCTTGCAGTCCAGTGCTTTTATCCCACAGTGCCAATTGCTTCTTTAGTCTTAATCCAGATAGAAAATTGAATTTCTAGAGATTTTTTATGTAAAAAGCAATTTTGCAATATCTGCTTAGATAATGGCCCTGTTAGCTAGCCCCACTATCAGTAATAAAGTACAACGAGAGCAGAGCCCTGGTGTAGCGTTGTAGGATAAATACTAGGCTGTTAACCTTAAGGTCAGTGATTCAAACCCACCAGCTGCTCCTCGGAAACCACCCTATACAGGCTTGCTCGGTGTCAGAACCGACTCGACAGCACTTCAGAACAACAAGAGTCAATTTCTGGGTCCTCTGGAATCTCACTGACAAGGATTTGCTGCATCTTGTTGCTATTAAGTTAGTGCTGACCCTTAGCCACCGTATGTACCTGTGTCCCTCTTACAAGCTGGCATAGTCTAGGTCCCTTGGTGTCTCAAGACCTAAGTCCTCACCTGTTTACTCAAAGGTTGACTGACGGTTCTGACCCACCCAGAGTCTCTTTGAGAGACAAACCTAGCAACTGGTTCTCATAAAGATTTTTGTTGTTGTTAATGCTTCCCAGTTAGATCTGACTCATAGTGGCCCTCTGCACAACAGAACCCAAAACTGCCCAGTTCTACTCTGTCACATAGAGACACTCAGCTCAACAGCACCTAACAACAACAACAAAGACATTCCAGAAGCTTCTTTTCCAAATATTGCTCAATTCTATTAAACCAGATTGGCAGTTAACGTGCTGTCATGCCGGTGCTATCTGGGTTTTATGACATCACCACCCTACTTTTTATTTAATAAATTGAGTTTGATTTTTTTAAGTCAAGAAATTTCCCGACTCTGAATTTGTATCTAAATAGCCCTCAGAGCATGGAGTCCGAGAGTTTAAAAGCATTACCTAATGGTAACTGGAGTCCTGGTGTGGCCCTGTGGGTTAATGCTTCAGACAGCAAAGCCGCTTGAACTGCAAGGTTGGCAGTTCAAGCTCACCAGTCGCTCCTTAAAAACCCTATACTGGGTCGCTATGGGTCGGACCCAACTCGACAACACTTAACAACAGCAACAACAATGATAACTAGCCTTGTTGTTGTTAGGTGCCATCGAGTCAGTACCGACCCATAGTGACCCTATGCACAGCAGAATGAAACACTGCCCAATCCTGGGCCAACCTTACTACTGTTGCCACACTTGAGTCCGCCGATGCTGCCACTTGGCCAGTCCATCTCGTTGGGAGTCTTTGTCTTTTTCTCTGACCCTCCACCTTACCAAACATGATAACTAGCCTTAGCAGAACCTAAAGTGCCACAATACTGCTGAGTGCTATAATAACAGTCTAGAACTTTCCTTTTCTTCTTTCTTACAAGATTATAATAATAAAAGGCCAGGCTAGCCTTTGTTTGCTCCGTGAAACAGGGTAATCAAGCCATTTAAACACCATCCAGACCTACCACCCAACTAGAGTCTCTCTGTTCTCCCTCTCCTGCCCCTTTCCGAAATATTGTCTGAGTTATAATATGTTGCTGCAAAACATTGTGCTTTAATGGGTTTCTTTCTGCTGATTAACAGGTTTTGGATTCAGGAAGACTGAAAGAATACGATGAGCCGTATGTTTTGCTGCAAAATAAGGAGAGCCTATTTTACAAGATGGTGCAACAACTGGGCAGGGCAGAGGCTGCTACGCTCACTGAAGCAGCAAAACAGGTGAGCTTGTAATTAAAATTTGCCTCAACAGTTCACCCCTCACAATTTGGCTCCGTGGGGATGGTAACAAGCACTAGGGATCCATTTCAATTATAAGTCTCCAGAGACAAAGCTCCACGAAGTTGGTCTTAACAACACGTCTCAGGTTGAAATCAAGTCTGCAAAGAGTCAGCAGAAATGGGGCTGGCAGGGGTGGGGGTGGGGGATTGGAATGGCTTATTTGTGCATGAACGCATGTGGAAGTATGTGTGTCAAGAGATTTTAGGTGAAACATTTTACACATTTGCACATTATGAGTTTTAATTCTCATCTGTGACTCCTTTAGACTCTTAATTTGTGTAAGAGGCATTATAGTAGAAAATACTGGTGTTTTGAAGATTCATTACGTTTCAGGTTAACTGATGCTTAGCATAGTCTATGATGTAGTTGCTGTCAGGATCCAGAAGAAGTGGAGGGTTTGTTGGGGGGGGGGAGGTGGCGGAATGTGGAATATTATTATTTATGTGATCTAGAGAAAAAAATCTACCAGGAGGATAGGTAGATGGTTTTGATAGGTTTTGTTGTTCTGTTTCATGCCATAATTTGTAAAGAGACCTCTTCTTATATGATACTAACATTTTCTCTCTAGCTTTCTCCCTAATTCTTTGCTGTTTAGAATTGTTGCTGTCGCTGTTGTTGAGTGCCATGAGGTTGGTTTCAACTCATATTAAATAGAGGGTTTCCAAGAAGTAACTGGTGGGTTTGATCCGCTGGCCTAAGTGCCACACCCTTATGCTTCCTCTGCCTTGTAGGAGATTGAACTTTCATCAGTACAAATCAAGAATTTGTATTACTGGGATCCTGATGGAACTGTAGGATAAGCACTGGACTACTATCCACAAAATCAGCTGTTCAATCAGACCAGCTACTCTGGAAACCATATACAACCTTCCTATGGAACAGATTTGACATTACTTAACAACAACAGTGCTCTAATCTGATGCTTGAAGGTTTACAAAGCATTTCCACAGATACGATGAGTGTGAAATTCCTAAACATCATCTGTGGTGTAAAGAAGGTGCTCAGAGCATACCATTCTGATTAAATGGTATCCTGTTAACAACAGTGATGTGTGCTTATTATCCCATTGTACACATGTGATAACTGAGGTTCAGTTCATGAGACTTAGCCATAGTTCACATAGTCCTTCTGGAACAAGGTGGGGATTGGATTGATGGAAGGAGGGAAGGAAAGTGTGATATGCCTGCCACATGAGATGTGGTGGAATGAGACTTTCAACAGGATTTCCATGTTGAGACTCTCTATGTAAAATGTTTGTGGTTGGGTGCCGTCAAGTCAATTTTGACTCATCGTGAGCCCATGTGATAGAAAATTGTCCTATAGGCTTTTCTGGTAGTAATCTTTATGGAAACAGATTGTCAAGTTTGTCACCCTTGGAGGGGCTAGGTGGCTTGAACTACCAATCAACAGTGAAGCACTGAATCATTTGTGCCACCAGGGCTCCTTTATTTAGCTCTAGGCAGTATGAATATGTGTGTGTTTTTAATTCTTTATGCTGTTTACATTTCCCAGGTTTGCAAAACTGCAGACAGAATAACATACTTCTCCTCAGAAACCCTATACAGGGTCGCTATGGGTTGGAACCGACTCGATGGCACTTAACAACAATACCATACTATTTTAGGATTCCTTGTGTGGCGCTGTGGGTTAATGCACCAGACTGCAAAGTTGTTTGAACTACAAGGTGGGCGGTTCAAGCTCACCAGCTGCTCCTTGGATACCTATACAGGGTCGCTATGGGTCAGGAATCCACTCGATGGCACTTAGCAACAGCAACGTACTATTTTAAAAGGAGCTCTGGTAGCAAAAATGATTATGAGTTACTAACCTCAGGGTCAGCAGTTCAAAACTACCAGCTGTTCCACAGAAGAAAGATGAGGCTTTCTGCACCCGTAAAGATTTACAACCTTGGAAACCCTTTACAGGGTCACTATGAGTCAGAACCAACTCCACAGCACATAACCACCGCCACCACCATACTATTATTAATACCTATTAAAACCAGACAATAGAATAAAGAAACTGTTTCCAGTATCTAACATCCCTTTCTCATAAAAGGTTTATCTAAAATACAAGGGAGCTTCAAAAATTTATGGAAAAGTAGAATTAAGTGATCATGGACCAGAATGTGTGGGCTAGGATGAGGGAAGGGTGGGGAAGGTGGAGCAAAGGGTAGGGAATAGACACAGGATAGTTTGGGTGCTAGGGAGGGGGGCAATACATAAGAAGGGGGATGGGTATTTGAAGAACATGGTGGATGTAAAAACAATTAGGCAGGTTTGCATGGGCTAAGTGGGACAGAGGTAAATAATGATGTATGCCCAACCTTGGAGCAACAGGGCTTGAGATACAGGGATTGAGACATGGTTGCAATGGGCAAAAGGAGGGAAATAATGTTAACATGCTTGGCTGTCTTTTGAACCTTGGTTTCCCTGGCATACCATTATAAAATAGACATTTGAAGGGGAGAGAAAGGAATAGCCAGAAATATCACCATAGAAAGCTTGTCAGTCCATCTTCTGCCTGTAACTGATTGGAATACCTAAAATGGGGCTAGAGCGTGCCCAGTGAAGGAGGCTTCCTGAGGAGTCTGCATTACATAAAACTATAGGTAGATTCCTGAACCTCACCCAGAATCTTCTGAAGTGGGAAATTTCCACTTAAAAGGACAAGCAGACCAGCCTGGAGCGGCTAGAAGAACAGAAGATATTTCTTGAAAAAAAGGCCAACAGAAAAAATACAAAACAATAACAACAGTCTGACTGATTGCTACAAGAACAAGCAAGTTGCTTGCCCAGGAAACATCAAGGCAAGTGGTCTGGTCCCCTCAGGGCAAACCCCCTTCCAAGACTTAAGACTCAATGGGAATACACGAGCAGACATGCACTCTGACTGGTGACCACATT